TTTTTCCCCTTGGGCGAAAATTTCGACCGTTGCTGTTTGTAGCTCTTTCAGCATCCCTTTTTCGTCGACCAGCCGCTACGAAAATGGTTTCCGGACTCAAATTCGTGGACTGCGATACCCGTCTAGCAACGCTTGAACTCTTTCCTCTGAAGTATCGTCGCCTCTGAGGGGACCTATTTCTTACTTATGCCCTGTTTGAACAAAGCGTGGCCAACAGGTTGTTCACCAGTGACCATACAAACACACGGCGGGGACATGGTGAGAAGATTTTCAAGCCCAGAGCGCACACATTCATCAGACAAAATTTTTTATCATTTCGGGTAGTGGGTGTGTGGAATGACCTTCCTCCGACGGTTTTTCACGCTCCTTCTAGAACCCAGTTCAAAACACTACTAGACATTTATTTATGCGAATCCTCGCGCGGGCAAACATACTGCCCCGCGTCGGGAAGAGTGTTACACCCTTTTTTCACTTGTGCCTCTCTGGCGAACGACAGCCGCTGAACGGCAAGAACAAACTCGATCCGGGGTACTTGTGCAAAAGACTCGAACTTATGTATCAATCCGTGAATCCGCGAAAAGTCCAAAATATCCTTAAAAATATCTTACGCTCAGTAACTTTATCTGGATTTGTCACATGCAGGCCATCCGTCTTAAATTACGGGACAGCGTACAGCTTACGGAATGCATCTTGAGCGCAAATGTTGTGGCCATATTACCAATGAATTCTCTTAAATGCCCCGGTTTTCCTGGAGAGACCAACGCAGTTTGAAACTTTGATGAGAAGTTTATTGCTAGCATGTGTCTAACCCAACCACCGCACGTCACATCTTATTGATTGCCTATGAAAATAGGCAATTAGTCTCCCGCTGGGAAATGCGTGGCAAAACTTAAGACGAAGAACCGGTGAGCAGCTGAGCTGAGTTTGCAAAACTTGGATTCTGTATCAACGCAAGTCTTCTAGCTTAACCGGACCGAGCGGTGCGCGTCTTTCGAAATGTGTTATGTGTTTACGTCTACTAGATATTTCATCATACGTGGGTCATTGGACTCATACTACCCACTATCTCACACTGAGATATGGTTTGCGTGTTTGTCGACACTTATTAAATCCATGTCTTGTCGTGGATTTATCAGTTTATTGTGCACTGCATCAGTCTCGATTCGTGGTTTCGTACCCTACTTCCAAACCCGTCGTCTGGGTAACTTATAACAGAATGCATAGGACTGTTATCTTATTACTGAAATGATTTTTTCTCCGATAACGACATTTTTCTACCCCAAGGACCATGGAGTTTTCACGAATTCGTGAAGAATTCGATGAAGACTTAAATCTTCATCGATGTTGTGAGAGTGTTTAACGCGGGACTTGTTGAATCGATAAGAACTTTTCGACTCGAAGACTGATCACTTCTGACGTGCGATCTTCACAGATGCAGATGCTACGCAAAACTTTGAGTCGTTCTCCCCTCCCGCATGTTATCTCGACGGTCCGCTTACTATCAGTGGCGTTTGAAACCGCGACCAATTGTCAGACAAATATTTAGGTGATCCGTTAATTAACACACCAGGTATAAGAAGGTTTGATAGGGGTGTAATTTGCTGAAGACGTCTAAGAGAACATTGTTTGCTTCTCAGGTTAACCTGAGGAGTCTGCATAAGCCAGATTTCAAGGGGGCGGAATCGTCATTTTAACCTACAGTGACCGAAGATTCAGGAAAACGGATGGTGTGGCATCACTGAGGGGTGAAGTAGTTCAAGTAGCGGGAGGCAACAGAGCGAGCAGCATTGCTGGCTCCCACATACTCTTCAATCTATCAAATGCCAGAAAAGATGCGAATACCGGACGATTTAGAAACGAAGAAACATGTTTATCCGCTTGGCATCTGAACTAAAATAGATTCTGCTGCGCTTGACAGGCCAATTCTCCTAAACCACCTGCTTATACTCTACCAGCTGTGAGAGTTTCAGGTGCTTTCCAGCCGTCAGTTTTGATCGTTCAGTCCAACAGTACCAACGGTGCCGAAGAAACATCATTAGGCCGTTAAGCAAGGCTGTTGACAAGCAAGCCCTGATCAGCTATTATTCAGTTTGCTTGACATCGTGAATCGGGAAGAGCATGGAGGGATAGGTGAGGCCCCTGTTGCAGCACCTTGTGGGTAACGCCCTATAGACCGGATTAGCATGGTTTGTGTTACAAACATATAACCGGTGCGAAAGCTGAGTAAAGTCGGCTGACTGTCGACACTAGGTAGAAGGGGTATTCGCAGGTTTCAGGAAAGAGATCGGCACGTAGCTCTCCTTAAACCTCTCCAAGAAAGCGATTCCCCACACTAGTTCATCTTCCATGTACGAAGCGCGAAAACACGAAGTTGGAACCAGTACAGAGATTGCTTGCGAGAGTGGTACTGGAAATGACAAACCCCGGCTAAATCTGTTGCTACCTACAGCTTGAATCGTCTGTCTTTTAGTACCGCGGTACTCGTTGGTACCTGGTATTTGTGTTTCTGGTTCTAACGGAGCTGCAACTTTCAGTGCTGATGTTACAGGGTTGAAAATCTTGGGGTATCTGTGCATATCATCAGTACTTTAGCTGTCTTTTAAGGCAGTAAACTTGTGGAATAGCCTCTTGAGGAGGGTTGTGACAGGATCTTCGGTTGAGGCATTTAAGCACTTAATTAACCAACACTTGTGTTTACAGTTGGAACTTGAGCTGAAAGCAGTAAGCCTCTGCCCTAGACCCCTTTCTGACGCCACTGAATAACCACTGTCTGGTCCGATGTGAGTGCAGGTTAAGGTTTACCTAGACCTATGAGTCCTTTATCCAATCAGTTCTGATCCAGAACCAAGTCAACTCATTTGAGATAAATACACCGAGAATTTAATGCATATGCAAAGTGAAATGTTGCTTACCTCGCAAGAGCCTTCAGAAGAGTTTCTGAGTCGCTTATAGTTGAGGTCAGATGTTCACTCCTTAGCTGGATCAGACGCTACTTGGAGAAACAAATCATAGATTTTCACATTGACGAAATGATGTTTGGACCTCGGATAACATCATTTGTGGTGCTCATGGTTTATTACCAGGTCCCAGCATCTCAGTTCTCCTGTCTCTTCTCTGGTGCTTTTTTGGATGGTATGGTAGCTAGACATCGAACGGTTGTTATAACTAAACGATTACTAGGTTTTCTGTCCTTCCAAGTATTTACCAACTATTTTACGCATAAACCAACCCCAGTGCAAATGTTCATGCCAATATCTGGAGAGTTATTAGCTCTCCGGGAGACCGGAGAAATCTTCACGCTGACCTAACGGTCCAAAATTGGCCGCAATCTAAACAGGTGCCATTGAAATAAAGGTGTTGCACGCTATTTCTACGTCACTAATGTCCCCGCTTGTATACTCTGGGCTAGGGCAATCAAAACCTCTTCTGAGCACGGGGGTTTGTTGTTTGCCATCCTTCACAATTTTGAGAGCGCGGTTCTGTTCCAAAAAATTCGATGACAGATCCAACAAATATCCAGACCCTCTAATCATATAAAAGAACCCAAATCAGGGCCACTAATGTAATTTACAGGAGCTCAACCGTGTTAAGCCTCAAAGTTCACCAAGCTTCAGTCATCTCATTAGAACACATTCAACGAAATTCAGCGAAATTGGTGTGCATCCTTCATGGCCTCTCCTATGGTGGGTGATTAGCCAACCTACCCTCGTTTAATTAAGTGTATGTCATACTCTGCTGGGTACTCAATAAAAGCAGGATATTCATACTTAAACGTGGCTAGAGATTGTCAGAACTACATTAGCGACGCTTCATTGAGTCTTTTTGTAGCCTTCAAAACTCTTCCGTACAGTGCGCTTCAGTCCTCTCCTGACAGGCCCTGTGTAGAGTTCAGGAAATCACACGGTCACATTTTCTCTAGGATTCAAGCACAAGCAGGACTTTTGTCAACAATAACTGTGTCATATTAATGCTCGATTTTTTTACATGGCATCTGTTGACACAAGTATTAAACAACCCTTAAGCTGCTGCAATTTGGGGTATGTAAAAAGCGCAAGCCTAATATTTCCATGATAATTCAGTGGATACTCCGATAGGTTGGCAAATTGCCCCTTTGATTATCCCTGGACTGCAGGGATCATCTCCTAATGAAGGAAGATTACTTTGGAGGCCCTATGGATTCATAGAGCTTCGCCAGTGTATAGAACTTCATGTCTTTCCCACTTCCGATCGGTATCCATCACCGCTGCATTCTGAAAGGCTTCGGGAAAAAAGTAGCAGAGATCATGGAAAGAAGGAGCAGAGATACACTGTAAGTCTGGTGGCTACAAATGGGTGTGTTAGATGCGTCTTGCTCATCCACTCTCTTACCAGCTGGGAATATCTGGCAGGAATACGTGTTTTGATGTCACTATGCCTCTCTGGGTCACGCCAACCTTTGAACAGTGTTTATAAACCGGAAGCAAATAGCGATGGTCGAAGGCACGTCATCTCTTTGGCAGAAGACTGATTAACTACAACCATTCAAACGGACATCAGAATGCAGAGTACCATTGCCAGTGAGCGCCCACATGCAGATATCAACCTATCTTGCGAGCGAATATTCTGTTTACAACAGCTGTTCGTTATACCTAAAGCCCCATAGTCTCATGGTAACCTAACAGTATACCCCATTGAGCACTGAATGAAATGACCACAGTAGCTTAGATGCATTTAAAAATTTCAATGAATGCACTAAAATTGAACGGCAATACCGCTACGATTTTCATGAGCCTTACGTCAAAGCTTTTGAGGCTGATCCGCCTCCACAAATAGACCACTATTGAGTAAGTTCTACGGACTCATCATAGAAGACCATAGTTCAGTGGTCTTACTCTGCCTCCGATTTCCGGTGATCAAACCTGTAGCAGCTGGAACCAATGTGTCTATGGTACACGATTAATAGCTGATCGGTCGACCTGAATTGGTCTTACTCTGCTCATATAGGCACCGAAATGGTGTTACAGCTGGATTATTATTATTAATTGCACAGAGAGCGAGGTAGTAACGTTGGAGCGAGTTTAGTGGGTTGATAATAAGGCAGCTTTGGATTCGAGTTACAACAGCTTTTGCGGCCAGTATGCTGTCACAAAATTCGTTGGTTCGGTTTGCTGCGACCTGGCTCTGGTCT